TTTTTTCTTTGGGATTAAATAGCTGACTTGGACCTGGCGGTGTCGTTTAAGAGCAAATTCCATTTTTTGAAGTTACTATATAACTTTCAGAAACACTCTTCTGCAAATCAATAGTGTGATGATAAAGGTCTATTTTTAGTACAGATTTTATTTAAGAGAAAAATCTTCACATTCAATATTGTACTTTTACAAAATGTTAACTTTGTGCAATTTCCAAAAATACAGAGAGTTCGCCGAAAATGTAGTAGTATGAATAGGGTGTAGAATAACATTCTTCTTTGGTACACATGAGAAGAAAATTTAAAAAGAGAGAATTGGGAGCCGTTTTTGTGAAAAAAAGGTTAAAAATTGACCAATTCATTCAAAATTACGCGAAAACTACTCATATTTTCGAAACATTGTGCATGATCTTACTTCATGATCTACCTTTAAGAACAGATTTTATTAAGAAAAAATCCATACCTTCAACATTGTGTAACAGACTATGTAAAGTATCCCCCACAATCAAAATGTCAAATCAAATCAAAAAATCAAAACTAGAGTTTTTTTAAATCGATCGAGAAATATCAGTTTTGAAGAAAATGGGCTGAACTGTTTAGGCACTAGATTTGATCTCAGACATACAGATGTTTTGCCGTCAATCGATTTTTCGGTATCAAAGACGTACAAACCATGGGTTCTGACTACGCTACGTATTAAAGGAAGTATTTTACCACCTTTGGATTATTGTTCGAGTTTTTGTATCGAAAATGGGCTGTTTTCAGGAGCACGGTTCTCTTTGGCACTTTCTCTCCTTACGAAGTAAGGGGGAGAAAGAAAACGAAAATTTACATTTGAATGCAGAGTGTTCAATAGATTCGATCCACTGGTCCTTTTCATTCCACCTGTATTTTAATTTTGGATTAACCATCAGTCACATCAACGGACATTCATTTTAATTTTTTGATCGCAAAGTTGCAAAACCTTATGCGGTAAGACATTGTGAAATCGTATTTTTCTTCATTTTTCGTATGAAAAGTTGTATTGTAATCCAAGAATAATTGAATTAGTTTTTCATAAGGAAAATATAATCATTTTACATTCTCTCCCTTAAGTAGACACTTCCTAAGACGTAAAAGTGCTCCGGAAAACGGCGACTTTTAGAAAGAAAAAAAAATTAAAAATGTTGATTTTCTACCTCAAAATTGATACAATATTATCTTTAAGTTTCGTAGAGTGAAGAACCTTAGGAACACAATTATAAGAAACTTTTATGTGCAATTTTGAGGAGAGATTTACTATTTTCTAATCACCTTTTATTTAGAAATCCTGTAGTTCGCTGAGAAATTTAAAAAGACTATTCCACTAATGAAATTAACTCCATTATCATATAACAACACATCTGGCATGCCCCAAGTAGGGCAATGTGTTTTAAAATAAATATCCCTTGTTGCATCTGAATTTTGTCAAGAGTGGCCAATTATCGGCTGCGATACATCACTCGTTTGAGACGACGTGCACTTAAAGCGCGAGTTTCATTAAAATAATTAATATTTAACGCATTCTGAAAATAAGTCGGACGTAGACTCATTCGTTGAAGAGTATCAATAAGTACCGCGCGTGCATTTGAAATGTCCAGATAAATTAACTCCACCATTCGCGGCTCGAAAATTTATCGAACATCTAAGCTTGCGAGATATTCCCTCCGACAATTTTCAATTAACAAATACTATTTACATTTTGTTTTACCATTTACAAGATTGGCAGATGGTTTGGAGAGCCTTTTCCCTACATGTAGTGAATCAATTCCCCAAATTGTCAGTATAGTAAGGAGAAACTTGGGTATTGCTCATATTTACGAAAATTAAATGTATATTATTACGGAGCCCCCTACAAAATTTTCGAGGGGCCACGGCCGCTTGTGAGCACGTCTATGTGGATTGGGAGTCCGTGTTAAGGACTGCAACGCAATGACCGACGGCCTCCCACCTCCTTCGCCGTGGAAGCACATCCGAAAGTCGCTCGCACCACCCTCCGCCGCAGGGGTGATGGCTGTGAGCAGAGCCCTTCGACCTCTGCCATGAAGGGCCACTGAAGGGCGCAGGTTGAGGCGGCGGCTGAAGACCCAATGAGGCGCCACCGGTAAAGGCGTTGGCGAGACTTGATTCAAAAGACTGTTGGGCCCGTTCAGAAGACATATAGAACCTGAATCTGCCAAATAGTGAACTGAATGTCTTGCTCATAAAAAGGATTCGTGATCCAACTAGCGTGTCTCCTCTCTCGTTCCACCAACTCGTGCAGTAACTCCGGAGACGGTGCTTTCTTGTCGGTGCGCAACAATTCGAACTGAAGAGCTGAGGGAACAATACAGAAATCTGTTCACTTAAATCCGTTGAATACCGTAAATTTTCTTCCTGTTATGAGTTATTAGTAGTGCTATAAAATGATATTCCTCGTATTAATTAGTTTTTTTAGACTAGCCTAGACTAGTATGCCAATGATCAATAAATGTTACACTGGTCATGTCAATGCATAAAAAGAACAATATATACATATATAAATTGTAAACATGAATTCTCATAATTGTAAAACATTATAACACAACTAAATTAATTTGACGTTCTGAAAAGAAGCAAGATCAAAAAGTACCAACAGAATTGAGATAGTTTTCACAAGGCCTACATGGCGGTTTTGCGGTATTTTCGACATCATTCTCCTGTCTCATGGCTTAACTCACTCATTCTCACATGTTCTCAACATTTCCAAATTATTTGTATCAACTCTTATATTTTTTTCATCTTTAATAACAGCGGAATAAAATGAATTTCTTATGAAAACTATTTTTAATTTTTACGCGATCAAAATTGCAATCCACTACAAAAGCCAGCCAGCTATTACAGCCACACAGCTGACCGGCAGAAGAATATTTTTGACCGCAGCAAAAAAAAAAAAAAGAAACGGTCTTCGGCGACGCTCCTGTTATAGAAGGTGGCAGAAAAACCGTGTACTGGCCTGAACACGCGGTAAGGACTGCGACGCAATGACCGACGGCCTCCCACCTTCTTCGCCTTGGAAGCACCGCCGACTGTCGCTCGCACCGCCCTTCGCCGCAGAGTTGATAGCCGTGAGCAGAGCCCTGCGATCTCTGCGATGAAGGGCCACTGAAGGGCGCCGGTTGAGGCGGAGATTCTCTGAAAAGATGGCTACGCCCAGCGAGATGCCGCCCAAGTGAAGGCTTTGGCCGGACTTGGTGCTTGGTCCTCGTAGCCGCAGGAAAGATATCGCAATGGGTACATTATCCCGAAGTTGGAGAGCGTGGATCACGATTCATTAAATTTCCTCTTGTTTATTTTTCATATTTCTTTTAGAAGGTCGGAATAAGTAGTATCTGAATCTGCCAAATATTGGATTGATAGTCTTTTTTCAAGAGAGTCCAATTAACGTGTCTTCTCTCCGAATGCACCATGTAGTGGAATACCTCGGTGACGGCTCTTCCTTGTTGGTACGCAACAATTCTCACTGAGGAACTGCGGCAAGAATCAATGTACATTTACAAGAATCAGTGTACCCAGAGTACAGAAATCTGTACACTTAAATCTAATGGGAATGCGTGGCATAACAAAACCGTTCTTCCCCTTGTGGTTATTACTCAACAGTTAAATTTTAAAAAAAACGGTGGCAGTCATGCACAATAATCCCCTAAAATCAAAATAACCGTTTCAAACTCGCAGGACCGTAAGTTCTTTCAAATCGATCGGGGATAATCAATTTGGGAGAAAATAGTTTGAACCGTTTAGACGCCAACGTTGACCACAAACAGACAGACGGAGAGACAGGCAGACATTTAGCCTCACTCGATTTTTGTATATCAAGGACTCACAAAACAAGGAATCTGATTACATTACGTATAGGAAGAAATAATTTACTACTAACAGAATCACGATTTATCAACGGTTTCGTTACAAGGGCCCCATAATAATGTTTCCGTCGAAAAAATCCCGATATCTGGCACACGATTAAAATACTTTATCTTCTTACAAAGTTCGATGAGAAAGTAAAGAAATTGAAGCAGTTTTAAGAAAATATTTTTAATCGACTTTATGTGACGAAAAATATCCTAAACTCTGCTAATATTTTGAAAAAAAAAATATACACAACCTATTTAAAGATATATGTTTGAAGAACATATTTTATTAAGAAAACACATCTATTTTCATTATTGTTGTTGAAAGAAGTAGCCGAAATAAATTTAAAACTCAGCAATTTTCAAAACTTCAAAAATTAATCGGAAATTAAACTTGCGTTATTTTTATGAGCGTTCACAGATCTACTCGAGAAAACCGTTTAGAGAAAACATTTGGATCCAATTTGAAAATCTGAACTGGGAGGGCCTAGATTCGAGTCCCGACGGAGGCAGGATTTTCCACACTAGCTTGTCAGCTAGATCGAATTCAGTCGCTGTCTGAAGGAGAATTCTAGCGGCCGGCTGCTCTGATCAGTAGTTTTCTGTGTTTTCTCCGATGAACACCAGGGGAATACCGGAGCGATACCCTACAAAAGGGTCACGGACCGCGCGCAATCTTTCCTTCCTCTTCCTTGTCCTATCCTTTCCGTTTACACACACACACATACACACTTACACTAACACGCACTACACAAGCACACATGCCGGGAAGCCGGTCGGGAGCTTAGAGCTTGGCTGGAGTGGGTTGGTGCCCTTCTGGTGGGAGATACCTGGTTGGAGAAAACCCCGCTAGCTGACGGTAGGTCGGCGCCGGATCTCGTCATACAGCGAGGGAAGAACAAAAAATCCCGGAGATATGAAATTTGCCATGATTGTTCGTTTGTACTCACTGCATTGGCATTACCCACATGCTGGTGGTTAATGGTTAATTTTCTAAAGCACACTTATTACATAATATAACGTGAATATTATGTATCAATTACTTTAGCCTACGACATATTACTGTAATCCTATGTATCCTATTTTGACTCCGTTATCAAATTACTACATACTCGCCTCGAAGTCTCTATAGACCTCGTTGTCATCGTGCTACGCGCATTTAAATGTTCGTTCCTCAACCTCACAATTGACGGAGTCGTGTCGTCAGCTGTTCTCTACTGTCAACCGCTGTCAACGCTGCTGAAGGTGCCGGTGGTGAAGTTCTGTAAGGTGCAGGTTAGGTTGATGTTTTCTGAGTAATACATGTATTTGTATACTCGTATATGCCCATGGCACTTTTAAACAATAATATTGAGAAAGTGTTGGACGAGTGATAAGCGTTTATAATCGTGATTTTCACATCTTTTATATGCAATTGGAAGGACGGAAGTGATGAAATTTTAAGAATCACAAGTTTTATGTGGATATCATTTTTGTGTACTTGAATTTATTCGATTCTGAATGGCGAACAGCGTGGAATTACTATCCTGCAATATTATTGGTACATACTGCGATCATAAGTGATGTTTTAAAATTTCTGTAACATCTCAATGCAATTTTACAACACTTTTACAGAGCGTGACAGTAACGGAGATGTACTGTGGACATGGACTTATCCTTCTGTAACCGACCAACAACAGTCATTAATATTAAGGAAATGTGGACTTGATGGTGATCATACTACTTTGCAACCCTTTGTTTATGGACGTTTTGGGAAAATATGGTATTATATTAATTGTACTGAAGTGTTTGATTCAGATAATTTACCGAAGGTCCGTAAATAATGTATTGTAGCATGTAAGTTCACTTCCTCTCATACTGGTAAATTACCTTTTTATTCAATATTCATTATTAGTAGGTGAAGCAATTTGCCCTGGTCCTCTGGTCAAAAGATTTTAATGCAGAAAAGTATGAAACGTTGTGCCGAATTTTGAGTAAAACTTACTGCAAAACTGGGAATCCTGCCGTAATGCTGCAATTATATTTGTCAGTATTGACTAGAGGATCATGTACTACCGAAGAAAATGGAACTTTTCTCTCCAAAGATTTCGAAAGTCGGAAATATAGCTCTAGCACTATGCTCAAAGGTAACTGGTTTATTTGTATCGAGCAGATCACAGAATAGTTGGATGAAAAAATATTAATTTATTTTAATTTGGCATCACTTAAATTACATTCAAATACTGTTTCCAGAACTAATCAATACTTTTGGTTTGGAATCTATTTTGATATATACTGCTCTTTTACTGAAGAAACGCATTGTTGTATACCATCATAGTCTTGAGGCTTTACTGAAGGTATTTTTATTTCCTAATTTATTTTGCACATTCGAATGCTTTTAGTGCAGAAAATTGTACGCAAAGTACTTTTTGATATCATATAATAGAGTACTGATGTTTTTATTTACAATGGACTTTTTTAGTGGATTCGCACTTTTCCAGTCATGATGTGGCATAGACGGAACAGTGATATACTATTTCCATGGATAGATCTTGTTCCAGAGGAAATCATGGACCTCAAGGTGTGTGGAAATTATTATGGTTCTAATAAATTTATAAAATTTCCTAAATTATATTTTGGAAATTTAAAGAAAAATAAGATTTGCAACATTGTTGTAAAGAACATTTGTAGTATGAGCTGGAAAAGGAATCAGATTTAAAGATTTTCTTTCTTTTCTAAATGTATTTTATTTGAAAAATGTCAATTAACTAAAATGTTACGAAAGATACATTGTATATGCCACAAATATACCTACTGAATGTACAACAAATAATATTTTAATATATAATTTTTGTTCCAGAGCAATTCTCATTACATTGCTGGAACTAGAGACAGCACAATAGGATCTCGTGCAGATTTATTTGATGTATTAGTAAATCTTCCAGCTAGAGAAATTACTATTGCTCCACATGCAAAAGGTATCTTCAATTTCCAGATTTATTGTAATATCTATGCATTTTTTTTTCTTTACCATTTTCAAATATTTATTTTCTTCCAGAAAGTATGATTATGACAAAAACTCACAAAGACATTGCAGTGTTTATGGTACAACTTGCTGAACGAGATAATGTACAAGAGCAGCAAGTTATAAAGGAAATTGCAGACAAGACAAAGGAGTTACTAAATCAGTTAATGTTAGTACCATGTCAGAGATGAAGGATAAGTATAAAAAAAGCATTCAACCCAACAATGGCATAAAAAAAGAACTTGTACGTGAAAAGGTTACATTACAGATTTCAGTGAACAATCAGATAAATTAAAAATTATTATTATTACGATTACAACTAGTACTATTATTGTTACTTCAATTACTAAAATCATTAATTAAAATAAATTGACACCTCTAAAGTAATTAATTGTGGCCCTAAAATGACTGACTTCGTAGTTTCAATGGAAACATCTTAATATATTGAATCTCAATTAAAACATATGCAAAATTAAATCAATTAAAATGTATTTTATCCACTTTAGCTATGTAAATTCAAACTTCAAGAAATTGAGATCGGTTATGTAATAGAGTGCCTAATAAGTGACCCACAAATATAGTGCCTAATGATAAATTAACGACAATCAGTTTTGTAATTTAAGTAATATTAAGACTCATCCAAGAGTCTTATTGAATTCAGTATATATCCTTTTGGCATGATGAAGGGTCAAATTTAAATGAAAATTATTTTTCATTGGAATTTTTACAAAGAGATAACCATTGTACAATTTTCCTATTATAACATCTTGAGTGGGAAAGTCGTTTCCTTGTGCATCTTGGCCCTAACACCCTTGTTTGGTAATTATTCAAATACTGTATCTTGTGTTGTAATAAGATTCTTACATCATATACTTATGCCATTAACCTCAATTATTCATTTCAGCTCTATAAACAATTATTTATTTGATAACTTTAGCAACAAAAACTACAGTTTTATTTTCTTGTGCATTTATAGTTATTTATGCACCAAGAGCATTATTAGGATGTTCGAGAGCCTTTGATGCGAGGACGTTTTGCGTTCAAGATCATTTGAACCTCTGAACATTCTTGGGCATATAAGATTTGTACCTAACTTTATTGATTCAAATTACAAAATTAAATAAATATTAATTTGACTCGGTTGGTTACATCATAATTCCCTCCTTAAGAGAATGTGTAGCGTCATTCAACGTATTTTGGTCGAAATCACAATCCTGGGAATTTTTTTTTTTTTCTATCTCATAAGTAAAATAATACTTTACACTCTTGAACCAGAAAATAGTATTAATTGGAGAGCACTTGTTTTTGAAGTACTAGAAGAAAAATATGAGAACACTAATTTTGATGCCCAATCGTGTTATATCATAACAAACCGCTGCCTTTTCCACGTAACAAACCACTTTGTTTCTGTGTCTAACAAGAACAGTTTCAAAAATTTTTAAGAGAAACTTGTTTCCTTTGGAGTTGTGGTATATACATAAAATCCAAGTCCTTTGTTTTGATGAAGGTATGATAGACACGTCAACATCTTTATATTTTAATAGAGGGGAGTATTCTGTGATTGGCACATAGTGAATATTATTTTTAACAAAGATTTCCACCATATATATTATGTGATCTACCTACTTCCCCTCATTTCCTTCATTTCCATTCAAGCCTTATGTATGATGAAACCTGGGATGTGTTTGCTATCTAGTTGTTAATGAGTTAACTAATGTTCAGTGAACCATGAAACTTAATTTTCATTATACCCTTACTTTTTTGCAGGTCTTTAGCCACTGTGTGCACCACTGAAGGTAAAAGAATGGTCTCCATTGAAACACTACGTGAAAGAAATTTACCTCCTGCATTGGATAATTTCCTTTTTAATCTAGCAGTTGCTGAAAATATTATGATGTTGTAGAAAATTCAAGTTTGGATAATGAACAAGATTATCTATTTGACCTCATTGAGTACCTCTTGGGTTATATTTTTGTGACATGTTTTTGTTTGCTTACATTTAAATGTACCTGTAGAGTCATTAGAATAAAGGGTGGAGAACAAATAGTGAACATATAGAAATAAAAATAGTGAGGCTGAAGAACAAAGTGGAAAAAAATGTATCTTATTACAAGAAACATCATCACCAAGAAACTGCTAGTTAATTGGGGTACATGGAGGGAGTACCATGCTTTTTAAAGGATCTATAAGTATTTGATTAGAAATTAATCTCTCTTCACCCAGTGGGGGTATGGGCTTACTGTGTATAGTAAATAACAAATTGATGCCCTAATTATAAATATTCTAAGTATTATCATTTCATATTTTTATAAAGTAGAAAATATGTTAGTTCTTTGCCTGAAATTCAATTAATATTTTGAAGTTTCTTTGCTACTGCTAAAGAGTCATTGTTGTTTTATTGTTAAGGTAAACAATTGGTGATTTATGCTCCCTTTGATGTAATCATTTAAATGTTGAGGAAATAAGGTGTTTTAAATTTTTTTAAAATAAGCATTCAAAATTTGTTACATCTAACCAAACAAAAATGCAAATGCTAAAATGAAGGTGACAATCATTTGGAAAATCAATCCACAGTGCAATAGATCTTCACCATTGTACCTCTAGTTACATAGTAACACAAAAGCATTTTTGAATAAGATCAAATGCTTATTAAACTGCTTACACTAGATTACTTTTTCATTAATATGATAAGTGAATACATTATTATTGTTAATTCTGATTATGTTATATTAAATGGTTTGATTTATAGTTGAAATGTTTCAAGAACTATTATCATGCATAATAATTTTTATTTTGTGATGATTTTCCTACCCAGGAGTTAACCTGCCATATCAAGAATGCATATAGCGCTTAAAGTAAATTGAAAATTAGAAGGCAATATGCAACACTGCCCAATCAATGAAAAAGAAAGTGGTTTCTGTATAGTCACATTTTCCTTGCAATTTTCAAAAGTTTTTTTAATATATTAGATTCACAATCTAAAGGCATTTCCTTAGGTATTAAAGACAGATCTCGCAATAGTAAAAACTGTGAGGTGATAATTACCTTTGAGATATTCCTCTACTGATTTGTGAAGATAGAAAAATGTAAATAATGTAACATTTTTATAGTGTTGTTTTTCCATCAAAAGACTAGCAGGTTGTATCATTTTTCAGATATAACCAATATTTCTCAATTGTGCAGAACCCACTTTTTACTTTGTGAAGAAACAAGGTTTTTAAGAATATGTGTACAGTACTTTGAGACATTAGACACAAAGCAACAAAAAAAAATGTTTAAAAGTAATTCTTGTTTGATTATATTTAGCTGTGCATAATGTTGTTTGTTTGTATAGAAATTTATACCATTATATTTTATACATTTTGAATTTTAAATGTCTTTATTTTACCCCCTCCTATAAAAGTTTTATGATATTTCTTCTCACCTACAACTTTTGTTTGGAATTTGTGTTTCAAAGGGACTTGAATGTTGTGAGTTAATCTTTTTCAAAATAGGAATGATTGTTTTTAGTACCACTTTACTTTACTTTTATTGTATTAGTCATTATTCCGGTATTTATGATTTTAGATTAATTTTTTATTTGATACTTTAATACACATTCCAGATGTGGCTTCTTTTCACTCTACGCTGTCTTCTCTCAACACTTCAAACCAACCCTCTGGAATTCTTCACACACATCAACTAGTAGTGCTTTATTAGCTCATACTTTCTCATATTTGTAATTTTCAAAATATCAGAGGGTTTAATGAAAGGAGCATCTATGCCTCATTATTAAGCAACCTTTACTGCATTTGAGGATCGCTGAAAATGGTCCCTTGCATCCTTCAGCTAATAATAACTCATTTTTTTAATGGTGCTCTTTTTTGAGAAAATCTTTATTTATATTGAACTGAACCTTGCCATTTCTATTACAAAAAGATGACAAAACTAATTAAACCATAATTAATTTAGAAGAGTTAATAACTAAATGTTTTTCAATAAAATAATGCTAGAAAAGAACGAAGGGCTGAAACAAACGTGAAGGCATGAATGGTTGGACAAAAGAGCAAAGTGGGTACAAGTTAGTAAAAAGAACCGATTTAGATATTGGACTGCACTAAATAGAAGAACAGTAGATGGTCAGAAGGATAGTATTATTGCAAGAGGCGAAAGTATATCAAAAGAAGACACCATGTGGGACAGTCATGTATGATGAGCTCGGTTCTTTTAAAAGTTACTGAGCTGAGAAGCTTCTGAGCTTTTTCAAAAGTTTAATTAAGTATTAAGTAAATACTGGAAGAAAATGTCATTATTGAAGCAATTGTAACAAATAGTTAATATATTTTGAGACCTTTTAAAATAGAAATATTCAAAATTAAAACATTCAGAACTTTATGATGTTTTGAGTGTGATAATACATGGAGCCTGCCTGATACATAGCTGAGGAAGAAGGTGTTCCTGATGAAGAAGGAGAAATTCACTGTCCAAGAGGGCTGTGCAGTTTTCAGAAGAAAAGTCTCTCTCCGCCTCTCTGTTCCTCTGACTTTCTCTGTCTCTCTCTGTTTCTGTCTCTCTGTCCCTCTCTGTATCTCTCTCTCGCTGTTTGTTGTTGTTTTTATTACAGGGGCAGGGGAAAATCTTTTAAAGACACTGCGGGGCCCGCAACTCGCAACGTGTGGGATTCATAGCTAGCCTGTGCCTACCCACTAAAAACCCCTCCCTTTCCTCCTATTCCTTCCCGCGGAACCGCCGTCATGCATTGCATCGCGAGAAGGAAGGATGGGCTTTTCGCACTTCACCGAAATATTACGGGAGTCGTCTTCGTAACTGCTCCTCGGAGCGGAGCGTCTTCAGGACCTTAGCGGCATGGGTGGCTACCGCACTCCAATACTCTTGTGTCATCAGCATCCTCGTGACGATGGTCTCAGGGGTCACTTCCTCTTGGAGGAGTCTGTGCAGTTCCTCCCTTTCCACTGCCAAGCGTGGACAATGAAAGATCACGTGTTCTGCATCTTCAATCACCGGGAAACACCTTGGGCATGGGGAGCTATCGTCCAACCGGAATCGGAGCTGATACTCTCGGTGACATCCATGCCCTGTCAGCAACTGCGTTAGATAATCTAATTCTCCATGTTCCCTTTGGATCCACGTCATGATGTCGGGAATGACCCGAAATGTCCATCGCCCAGTTGATTGCTCCCATCGTCGTTGCCATTGGTCCATTCCCCCCTCTCTTCTTTCATGATGGTATTCCAGTTTGAAGCCCCCTCGCGCTAGCACAAATAGAGTCTTGCTCTCTCTTGGGCAATGAGGTCGATCGGAGGCATATCTGCTAACACGCACACAGCATCATAGGATACAGTGCAAACCGCTCGAGCAACCCGCAAGGCGGACCTTCTGTGCTCCGACTTAGCCCCTACGGGCGTATGACTGAATGCCCATGGCATCAGCCCAAACAGGGGGCTGCGTAGAGAAGAATGGAATTTACTACGCTAGCCAGCAGCCTCGGCGTCTTTGCCTAGGACCCCCTACATTAGGCATAATGAGTGCCAAGGCCGATGCCATACGAGACGCTTTCTCGGAGACTTTACGCAGGTGCTCGTCGAAGCGCAGTTTCGCGTCAATATGCACTCCTAAATACCTCAGTGGCAGCTGCGAGGATATTTTGCAGCATCCTACATTAAGAGTAATACTCTCTCTCTCACTTTTCTGCCCGTCACCAGCACAGCCTCTGTTTTAT